AAAAAGGATATAATTTGTCTGTGTGTGGGTGTAATCTGACTTTTATCATATCTTGTTGAAATCATCCTATGATTGCATACTTGGCATGTCATCCCCTCAACCCTGCCTTTTGCTGAATTATCAGAGAGTCACTGAAAAAATAACTGCCATATCCATGGCATAGGCATTTAATTCCTTCACTGAGACAAGTCCAGCCTACATTTAGCTCCATCCTAACACTCTGTCACCTAATTGAGGCCAGCATTTTGGTTTTCTTGTCACTGTGGATTTTTCCATAATGTCCATCCAAACCTATCCTTCAGTGCAGCACATTATGCCCTTCCAAAGTACAGCACTGTGCACGTATTGAAAACCTAGAAGATCCCCAGTCACTTGTCTTTTTTTTAATGGAAACAAGTAAAATTCTTCACTTCTTTCCTCCTCATTCATCTTAGACATCTGATTGAGCCGCTGCTACAAGGGAATCTAGGTTTGCCTGTGGAAGAATTATCTCAAATCACCCTTCAGGCAGATATGTCATTACTTTTTCTGTAAAATTTATTCCACCTGGAAATTTATTCTGTGCTTCTGACTTAACACAATGCCTTTTCAAGATAGGTCATCATTGCTCATTTTCATGACTGAGAGAGCCTGGCCCCAGTTTGCTGCAAGACTGACACTGTGAATCCTTCATCTCATCAGACACCTTTCAAGGGAACCTAAGGCAAGAACTTGGTGCAGGGAATTTCAGCACAACTGTCCTGAAGTTTGATGAAGTTAGAAGGAATTGAAAACACAGTCATTTCCTTTTAAGTGCAGGAATACTGTGCCTGCTCTGGGTATGACAAATACAATTCCATCACACTAGATGCTGTATTTGGATTGCAACAAAACCAGTACCTACACTTTGTCAGAGTGGCTCAATTCACATTGCTTAACAGCAGAAGGAGCTGGTGGCTCCTAGGTAAGCACAGGAATGCCTGGGATGGAGGATTAAACAAACCTGCTGGTCAAGCTATTTACTGGGGGCTGTTGGAGAGGTGCCTGGTGCATGAGTGAAGAGGGCTTTTCTCAACGCCTGCAGTCTGAGACCTGAAATGTTTAGCCACAACCATGCTCTCTGGAGCTATTTCTGATTTTACATTCCCTGTATCACAGCAAGAAACAAGAGATTATACAGACGCTGCTGCCTTCTGTTATTTCTTTAAGCTCCTCACCATATTCTCCAAGAATTAGGGCTGAATGCAACAGCAGCTACTTGGGGCTGGTCTGAACAAAATCTCCTCAGACTCCAGGTCAGTCAATCTAGGAAATGAAAGTTTAAGGTCCTTCATGGATTTAGAAATATTTTTTTCTTTTAAGTAATATCCAATTGTTGGCAAAGGTGAGTTATTTCTGAATTTAGTTAACAAGTCCTTCAAACTAAAAGAATCTGGTTTTGTACACCACTGTGCTGCCTCACTGCAGTCTTCAATATCCTCACAAGGGGAAGTGGAGGGGTAGGTACAGAGCTCTTCTTCACTCTCGTGACCAGTGACAGGACTTGAGGAAACAGTATGAAGCTGTGTCAGGGGAGCTTTAGGTTATGCATCAGGAAAAGGTTTTTCACCCAAAGGGGGTTGGGCACTAGAAGAGGTTCCCCAGGGAAGTGGTCACAGCCCCAAGCCTGGCAGAGTTCAAGAAGCATTTGGACAATGCTCTCAGGCATCAAGTGTGATTCTTGGGGTGTCCTGTGCAGGACCAGGAGTTGGACTTGATGATCCTGATGGGTTACTTCCAACTCAGCATGTTCTATGATCCTATGGTAGTGTGTAACTACGGAGGAGCTGTAGCTTCTCATAACTCTGCAGGTCCCTACTTCTCCCTACCTATGCTGGTAAAGTATATATGCACACCAGACCTGTTTTCTCTGGCACCCAGATAAAGCAAGCAAGTAGTGAATTATGACACCTAAAAGATACTACAAGGACACAGTGTAGCTCTGCTTTAGCTCCTCTAGCTGAATTCCGAAAAAAACTTTTATTACACGTGATTGCTACAATTTATCATACTTGGTGGAGGGATACACAGACTACAGGGTGAGGGGAATGCACGGAACTTTTTATCACGTAGCTACACATTTTTCAAACTATTCAAACTCCTCAAGAACCAAATTGCAACATACTTGTTGCCATCAGTTAACTGACCAATATGTAGTCCATAAATGGAACTACTATAAACAGTTTACAAACAGTCTTTTAGCCTCAGAATTGCTTCTTGTCTCAGGCATACGTGGCATGGTCTCACTTTGGTGGAGTTAGCAGTTCTTTTTCTCTCACTCAGGCTCCAAGGTCTCTTGCTGAATTCCATGGTTATCTCTGAGGCTTTTTGCTGAACACCTGCTCCTACAGTGAATCACCCAGTTTTTTTCCTCCTATCCCAAATTCTGTTGTTTTGATGCCTCATAGACAGAAGTTTGGAGAGCAGAATCTTTCTGCATTTTGTAATCTACACAGTGGAGAATACTGCCAGTGCTCAAGAAATCATAGGAGTTAGTGACTCACTTTTGCCTTAAGCTTATGAAAATAAGTATTAATGTTTGTCAGGAGTGACCAATTAATTTTGTTTTCATTTATTGCATTTGATCCGTCACTTTTTTTGTTAGATTCTAAAACCAGTTTGTGGGGGTTTTTTATCTCTTTAGTACTTACCTTAATATGTTTTGATTCATGCTTGCAAGCACTGCTTACAAGACAGTCACTGCAGTTTTGTTGAACATTTGCTAATACGTTAGGTGCCTGGTTCCCCTTACAGTATTTTTCTGCTCCTGTAGGTGCATTTGCAGATTAAAGCTCTCTATGTGAATTCAATTAAGTTCAACAAAATATAGACTCCATGTTAAATGAGAAGATTAATGGTTACAAAGAGTGTTCGAGGGCTCTCAGTCTTCTCAGCACAGTTGTCTTCCTCTCATGTCTGTGATGGAAGTAATTAATCACAAGTAATTATTTTTGACTCAATGGGTCAATTATTTGAAGGTGGTGGGGCAGGTCTGGTCAAACCAGACCAAGAAGCACAGCACCTATGATTCACCTGAGCAATATGGGGGGTCTCAGGGATATGAAGGACAGGGTGTCTCACCATGGTGAGTGCTCACAGCCTGTCTGTACTGCAGTGGGACAGCATGTGATGGATTCAGGCTTGCTGGTGGGCAGCTGCCACGGCTGCCAGGAGCAAAGGAGCAAGGAAGGCCCATGTGTGTGGAGATCAGCCCTGCTGGACACAACCCTCAGGTCTTCCTGCATTGGTCCCATCTCAAGTGCACCAGTTCTGTCTCATTGCAGACTGTCCTTTTAGGAATACAAGAGGGAGCAGGAGGGGAAGGCTGTACTGGTGAATGGAGGGGGAAATCTGCGGTGTTTGACAGAACCCCACATCCTCCTGGGGGGCCCTGGGGAGCTTACAGGGACCTGTGATCTTGAGGCCAGGCAGTGTGACTGAGCAGGATAGAAAGGAAGCAACCCACAGAAGATCCTCATGCCACAGATGCAAGACAGGTAACTTGTCTCATTAAAAAAAAAAAAAAAAAAGAAATTCTCTCAGTAAAGTAGCATAAGAAGGGGTTTCAAGTGATGTGGAAGGTAAGCAGGTGGCAGACTGTCTCTGCACATGCCCCCCCTGCCCAGTCCAACAGCACCACAAGGCTCTGCTGATCAATAGTTAATCTCCAGAATAAACCAGGCTTGCTCCAGAAGTAAACTCAAAATAAACACAAGTCTTGCTTATCCTTAATGTCATGGTCTACATGAGAAGGAGAAAGGTCTCAAAACCCATGACTGGCATTAGGGCATGATTTAAACTGCAAAGCAGTGAACAAGAGGGTAAAGGGATTGCTCTCCCTCCTCCTTTTTCCCAAAGCTGGTTACCAGAGACCTTCACACCAAAACCAGTCAGTAAAATGCAAAAAACAGGGAGCAACCATCCAAGATGGCTGGGAAATTTCTCGAGTAACACTGAGCATCCTGATGAGGAATGTACATGCTACTCTCTTCTGTACCACAGATGGTCAGGTGGGCTGTTAGTGTCCCAGCATTGCTGCCTGCCCAGCACCCCTCATCTGAAAGAAGCAGGCAAAGACATCTACAACAAAAGTAGATTGATTTCCCTTCTCTGTGCTTAGGCAGATGTCTGATTCTTTGGCACTATTTGTGTCATGCTTTTATGTCCACAGTCATATCCTGGTCCTTTTAATTGAGGTCTCCTCTGTGAACTCTCTTCTTGCCCATGAAGAAGATCTGGGGGTCTTGCCAGTAGATATGGATCTACTGTCACTCCCTTTGCTTCTGACATCCATCGCTTTGTCTTCATCCACCAGCAGGTCGTCACAAATCACTTTTTGCCAGCTACAGTGATTCCAGTCAGCAGNAAAAAAAAAAAAAGAAATTCTCTCAGTAAAGTAGCATAAGAAGGGGTTTCAAGTGATGTGGAAGGTAAGCAGGTGGCAGACTGTCTCTGCACATGTCCCCCATGCCCAGTCCAACAGCAGCACAAGGCTCTGCTGATCAATAGTTAATCTCCAGAATAAACTGGGCTTGCTCCAGAAGTAAATTCAAAATAAACACAAGTCTTGCTTATCCTTAATGTCATGGTCTACTTGAGAAGGAGAAAGGTCTCAAAACCCATGACTGGCATTAGGGCATGATTTAAACTGCAAAGAAGTGAACAAGAGGGTAAAGGGATTGCTCTCCCTCCTCCCTTTTCCCAAAGATGGTTACCAGAGACCTTCACACCAAAACCAGTTGGTAAAATGCAAAAAACAGGGAGCAACCATCCAAGATGGCTAGGAAATTTCTCAAGTAACACTGAGCATCCTGATGAGGAACGTACACGCTACTATCTTCTGTACCACAGATGGTCAGGTGGGCTGTTAGTGCCCCAGCATTGCTGCCTGCCCAGCACCCCTCATCTGAAAGAAGTAAGCAAAGACATCTACAATAAAAGCAGATTGATTTCCCTTCTCTGTGCTTAGGCAGATGTCTGATTCTTTGGCACTATTTGTGTCATGCTTTCATGTCCACAGTCATATCCTGGTTCTTCTAATTGAGGTCTCCTCTGTGAACTCTCTTCTTGCCCATGAAGAAGATCAGGGCTTTGGGGGTCTTGCCAATAGCTACGGATCTGCTGTCACTGCCTTTGCTTCTGATATCCATCACTTTGTCTTCATCCACCAGCAGGTTATCACAAATCACTTTTTGCCAGCTACAGTGATTCCAGTTAGCAGGAATATTTTCTGATCCTGGTCTGTGATCAAGCCCACTTCTTGAGACAAGACAGCTGCGAGGACCACTCCTGGCTTAGCTGCCCACACACCTCTGTTGTCAGAGAGGCCCACGACAGCCACATCTCCAAGATTCCTGTCCACCAAGATGCTCTTGACGTAGTACATAAAGTAATGCAGGATGGCTGAGCTGTCTGCATCTTTCAGAAATGCCCAACACGAAGCTTCCCCACTTTCCACCTGCTGGGGCTTTAGTCTCAGCAC